TATATATATATATATATATATATATATATATATATATATATATATATATATATATATATATATATATATATATAGTTGAGTTTAAGGAGCAAAACCGGAAAAACCGGAAAATGAATGAAATGAATAGATGTAAAACGGACAAGCCATACATATAAATTTTACTTCTCATAGTACCAATGATTTCTTGTCCTAGAAAGTGTCATTTCTAAAGTGACCTTACCCTTTTTATATGGTTTTCTTCCGCTCTATCCAGCTAAAGATATCCCATTACCTTACTGTTTGATAAGCTCTTACAGAAATCAGTTCAAAGCTTTCCAGCTAACGGCATCTCTTTTCTAAAATCTCTATTGAATCCGAAAAGTGCAATAAAGATTTTGACGGGACGAATCTTTCAGAATACCAAAATTTCAATTCGAACTGTTTGCTTCGCAAAATTTGCTTTTCATTTAACGTATGAGTAGGAATTCTGTAATCTAATTGAAATTTAGAAAAGGCACACTACCAGAAGCATGAAGATGTCTAAAAGTATCTAGTTTTGTCATACTTCTAATGACTTTCACGGATCCCAACAGTTAAAGTTAAAATCAGTTCGTATATAGATAACACACAATATTTATGCAATTATAGATGTTAAACCTTGAACTTTGAAGTAGTGCTTTTTTAAAGACTTCATCAGTAACAGAGTAGTTGTATGTAAAAGATTGGAAATTCATGTAAGAATAGTTGTGAAGTGTATGACAGAGAATAGGTCAATCTGGGAGGAAGAAGAATAACTTTAGAGGGTTCCGTATGAGTTTCTTTAGATTGTCACAGATCATAACAATGAATTTTTGACAAGCTAAAGAACCTTCCTGGCAACTTTAAACATAACTGAGGAATGAGTATAAACAATACAAAAACAGATAACTATTCAGGAAGACCTGAAGAAAATATGGTATAAAAATAAAGAAAGAGTCTTCTTACCCATTAAGGTAGTCTGAGATAAGTGATTAGTCATGAGGAATTAAACTAATACAGCTACCTTCAGAGATTCAATCGAATAACTTGCTACCAAGGAGATAACTGGATTTTCAGTTTGAATGTTACATTCTTGAATGAGTCTAATAAGACTACACACAATCTTGCTTTTGCCTCAAATCGTATGACATAAATAGTAATGTAAAGTCATCAACGTACAATTGTTTACACGTACAGTTGACGTTATTTTGATATGTCACATGTCTATCCGATTGAAATTATCGTGCAGAAAAGTATACTGATTGTATGGTAGAAAAAAGGGCAAACTATCTGTTACAGATCAATTTCACTGCTGATCATCATCGTAAAAAAAATATCTCATGGAGTAGTAGAGAGGCGGAAAAAGGACTGAAAGAAATGCAAACAAAAAGCGCCAAGTTATCAGCGTTTCAACTGGAATCATTTGACGTAGAGGAAATAAACAAAAAAGTGAAGGATAAATGATTAGAAGCGATCATATTTTATTTTAATTTTTGTATTTCCGAAGTTGAAATCGCAGCGTATATATGTGACACACACAGACATACACGCACAGCCATGTGTACTTCGTTCTGGCTGTCCACAAGATAGTAGGCTGGGTTATCGATCAATGGCAAATGAAATTTTGAATAATGTTACGCTCAAAACATTTAGTAATCGAGGAATACAATGTTTTCGTAAGTCGGAAGAATAAGTACCAAGATGATATTTGTCCTCAAACTTGTCTCGCTACTTACTGATGAAATGATTGACTTACAATTTTGAGTCAACCGTCTCCATCAAAACTCCATCCTCTCATTTCGAACCACAGGATTAATTGCCAAGGAGTGCCGTATTCTGATAACCTTCTCATGACCAACCAAACATTCAGAAGGGTAGGAATTCCACTTTCTGCTTGGTTCGTCCTTTAATCGAACTATCATTATTACCTGCCAGTACTCATAGAAATTGTGTTTGCAAGAAAAGACGAACAGATATATCGAGGAAGTAATTTTTGAATAATTTGAAAGGTGCAGGTAATTTTTCTTCTAAGAAGGAGTGAGGAAGGACAAGAAGAAAGGCAACAATTAATAATAAATTTGATTAATGGATCTGGATTATGGAAGCGGAAGTTCGTTTTGTCCGTGATCTTTGACCACAAATAGTTGCAAATATTAAAAACAAAGCAAATACTCCACTACACTACAAGGTACTTCAAAATATTCAATTTAGAGTTGATAAAACAGTAAAATTAAACTGCAGGCACAATCAAAGTCAGTTGCTGAAGTTTTAAAGTACTAAGGAATACAACTACCACAGCTGGACGAAAATGAACAGTTCAATAGAAGGCATCATTTAAAAGCACGTATGATTCCGCACGCTTAACGACCATTTTCGCAATATTAATCAATAAATTGACAAAGAAGATTGCCAAGTGAATTTGATGTATTTGATGAAATGGTAAGCTGACAATCATGTCTTATCCTTGTCCTTTATCCCCCTCTTTGCACTCTTTCCGCCCGAAATTTGTTATTGGTGCCACCTTCGAATAAGCAAACAGGATGCTAGTAGTGGATGAACAGAAAAAAGGCTTGGACCAATGAAGGAAAGCCTTCGACTATTTAGGCCTGGACAGCAGGAGTGCAATGAGAAATGCTCGCATCATGCATTTCTCAGCTGCCATTTGAGTCATTTCTATGGTTGCAGGTTCTTCCCTGCAACGTTAGAGTTCCGCCCTACTGAGAGATAACTTCAATATCGGAAATCCAGAAATGCTTGGCTATTGCATTGCTTGGGCAAGCCACTATTAACCATAAGAGATTATTCCCGCGCCTATAGCAAAACTTAGTCCAGACTTATTTGTTTGGAAGGAATCATCCAAGAAGTTATTTTCGCCGCCTTTCTAAATTTATTATAACCCAGACTGCTTGCTGAATTGAATCATCAAAAAATGGCGATATTCCCTATCATCTATCAAGGTAGGTCGTTGCTTACTGCGGGTCAACTGCGCTAGAATTCTTGATGCACAGAAAAACAAAATGGTCAACAAACGAAATCTTTTGGGTATTCTCGATCACATGCTCTCGTGGAGGAGGATTGAGCGTTGGCGACGATACTGTTGGGAATGACTTATTTAATTGTCTCACTCATAATTCACATATGATTCGTGTTCTGGAATTAGTCAGTTGCAATAATGAAAAATTAATCCCTCTTCTATGAAGCTTAAATTTGTAAGGACTGAAAAATATGACTCCCCATCGTGATCTCTTAAAAGTCGGGAACTCTTCTGTATCTCTTTCCTTCTACCGTAATGATGTGGATGAAATCAATAATTCATTTCAATTTTTCACAAACACCAAATTGACCTAATAATGTCAAGTACTATGAAACTTATGACTCTCATCACCCTTCACTTCATCCCAAATACACAGAAGAATTAGGAGAAATGAACAACAAAGTAACGAATATTAATAGAGTAAATGATTAACTCGATGACTGTATGATTAAATTGACTGGACCATGAAATATATAACTGATAAGGGCAATCAATAAAACTCTAAAATAACAATTAGTATGCACAGCTCTGTCACTAATGCTGCTGTCGTTGTTGTTATTGTTGCTAAGACAGGTTGACAACTCTATTTTTATCATCTGCATACACTACATCAACATCACACAGCAATATACCAAAGAAAAACAGGTGGGATAGATTTCTTCCTTCCCACCGGTATCAAGAAGAACAAGATGTATGTCTGTGATATTTGTAAATTAACAGAAATGCTGAAAGAGAGACAGAGTTGCAATAGCTGATCTTCGATATTTTCCCCGGGAAGAACTACCGCAGGCATACTGAGTAGAATGATACATGTGAACTGAAAGGCTCACAAACAATCACAAGCAAACTAAAAAAGCTCAAAGTATGTTGTAAAATTTGAAAATTTGATGGATAGGAGCCACTCAATGAAGATAAATTTTGTTGAAACCAAAACAAATGGAACACTATGAAGTTCAGAAATTAGCGCCTCAGTTGTTATCTACTTTTGAAAATTAGATGGGACTAATTATTACTATCTCTCTGTTCTAAGCATATTCTCATTAGCATTCAGCTCAACAAGCCCAACTTTTGTTAACTTTGTCAGTCCGAGCTAACTACACTTGTGACGATAATAATTATCAATTATCATAACAACTGGTGTATCATTTAGGCAAGATCAGATTCCATCAGAAATTTTGAAAATCTACAAAGTGGTCAGTAATTAAATTGTACTAGAAATAAGTGAAACCTTTAAAAGATACGGAGAAAAAAAGTTGGATTACAAAGGGGAAGAGATTCGAGTGAGTCATTACTGTAAAACGTCTGCGCCATACTCCTGCCATTCATTCCCACTTCTCACCCAATCGATCGTATTTTTGATTTCGTTAAGTAGCGTTGTCTCCAACGGAATAACGTTGAAAAGCATGAAGATTCCATTATTCGTTAGCTCTTGATTGATTGTATCTTTGCGAATGTATTAATAAGTCTTGCAACCACTCGATTCAAGCAAATAATTGTTTCTAAATTCTGGAAGCAAGAAAGACTGCCATAAAGCGACGATGTTCAGCACAACACTAATTGATATAACAATTACTTGCTGTAGCTAACTGAACCTCAGACTCGTCTTGTTACCTACCTAAGCATGACTTGCTTCCCTTCCCATATCCCGGTGACTTTCTCACTTTGTATCCTGACATCTTGGGCACCATATTGGACGCATTATCTACACTTTTCCTGAGCATTTCATTATCCTTTATTTCAAAAAAATAAATAAATAAAAATCAAGGCTCAAACTTTCCATCTTTCGATATCAATCCCTAAAAAGCTAATGGAATTCACCAAAAAGGTGAAAATTCCATTCATCGCTTCATATGACAAAAAGCGATTCAGCGATACGTTAATAATATAAATCGCTTCAGAGAACTGTTAAAGTAACCGAAATTTCAGGAAAACTTTTCTGCTCAATTATTGGCTATTATCAAATTTATATTAAAACTAATTCTCTATTCTTTCCGACTCTACGAAAGAAAAAAGGGAATGATTTTAAGCTTTTGTATTTCCTGTCAGTTTATTTATTCGAAAACAAAAACAGGGGAAACAGTTGAAAATTAGCAAAAGACAAGAAAAAGAAACATAGAGAAGAAAAGAAAACATAGAGATGAAAAAAAAACATAAGATTAGAGAGACCAAAAAGTCTTTGCCACAACTAAAATAATGTAATAATTTTTGGAGAAAATTCCTTATGAAGCTCCCTACTATTTTTCCATAATAATGTTTGTCTCCAAATACTTTAAACCTGGACCTGCACAGAATAGAGTAAAAGTTTCCAGATAGACCTATACATTATATATATATGTATATATATATATATATATATATAATATATGATAAACAACAAATCAAGTTCGCAAACTCTCATAATTTTTGGACCGAGAATCTACTCAAAAATTTCTACCATTAAAACTAATGTTTACCAATCTTTAATTCGAAATGAACTTTACAAAACTGAATTAAATCTTGAACTGACATTTAAATTCTGTGTGTGATGCCACAAATACAGTTTAAACATTAAATAAATTCAAAATAATTACATCAGGAAGGTGACAATTCTTCTTTTTTCACCGTCTCCACATCTTCCTCATCATGTGACCTTTCATTAAGTAGTACAAATTCTCGTGTGCTGAATCCAAATCTCAACACATCTTTCTCCCGCAACTCTATGAATCTGAGCAAAAACAGCATGAGATGAGATAAAAAATAACTGGATTTGCTTATGAAAGCTTGAACAACTTACAATTAAGAGAAGGCAAAACGGAGACAATTTCCCAAATGGATGTAGAGGTAATAAATGTAGTGGTAACTGTTATCCAAAGATACTTTAAAAGTATTCCATTAAACCCAAAATATCATAAGGAAATTAAATGTTAGAAAAAAAATTCACCGCTGTGACTCAATACGTTCATTATTCAGATAAGTACCATTCGCTGAATCTAGATCTATTATGTAAGGGCGTATGCGCTTCACAGTTGTTCCATCAGGTAAATCCTTTGGTGTGAGACGATACTGAAAGACAGCATGCTGTTTGGAACAACTAGGATGATCTACTGGGAGATCAGCGATTTTGCGATCACGTCCGATAAGATATGCTGATTGTCGATGAATATAGAGCACTGGCAAAGCCTCATCGCCCTGTGTCATTCATAATAATGAGATATGGGAAAAAATCATTGAAAATTAATATCCGAGGTCACACTATTTCTGCGTCCTGTTTTGTTTAGTGTTTATATTACGATGGGAACGGGAAAAGGTTTAAAAATCAAAGTATAATAGAATGGAATAGTTCTAAATTTCGAAAAGAAGAGAGAGGAAATAACCACAATTTATTCTACTGTTCTTGCACAGTGTAGTTTGTGGTTACGCTGACAGTGAAGAAATAAAAAATATTTTATATCAAAATTATAAATAATGAAAAGTGGAAGAATCATAACTTCTACATTTTACCTAAAAATCAGGACAAAAGTTTCAATAGTCAACAAGCAACCTTAAAAGGGTAAAGACGCCAACGTAATTTTGGTATATGTGCGTCAGATGGTTCGTTGTATTTGATTACAACACCTCGATAGGTATTGGTATCTTCAGCCAATTTCCCACTTGGTTCAAAATTCGGCTTCTCTTTTTCGATCTTCGGTTCTTCTTTCCTGTCGTGATCACCGCGAAGATATTCATTAAACGCATCCTGCAGTTGACCACTGAAAAGTATTTACGTAAAATTGGAACAATTAAAGGTCTATGATGCTGCCTTTCGATTGTTTCATCACAAATACCCCTTGAAAGCATATAAATATATGTATCCACATAGGTTTAGAATCACCTAGGTAGAAAATTTAAAGTATTAACAAATTTATAAAACTTACGGATGATCTCTGATTACACTTTCGAGTCTTTCTTCTTTTGCATTACTAGTTGATAATTTTCTATCGGTTTGATTGCCGAACTTCTTTTCCACCTCTGCAATATAAAAAACAAATTGTCAATTGGGAAAGAAATATGTCTCTGCCAACAAATATCTACCGTAAAAGTCTTGCTATAATGAAAGGGAAATCAAATGCAATTTCTTTAAAAAGGATTTGCCTTATTACTTAAAGAGGATTTATTGCTTCGCATAAAGTAAATTCGTTCTCCAACAGCCTTTACAAACTGTCAAATCTGCGAGTATCCACGGCTGTGGATCAATGAAAGTCGGAGAAATCAGTACAATCAGGATAAAAACAAATAAGAAACCTCAGAAGAAGATGTAAATCACATGTTTTGGGATAAGCTAAGATAAATTATAGTAATCGAGGTTATATGGAACAGAGTTAAGAAATTTTCGAGCCATTCATTTTTCGCTAGAATCGAAGAAATTATATGATGAGGACAAATTTGCACATATTCGATTGATGAAGAAAAGCCTCACTTCTCTGCGAATCGTGTCTACTGGATGAAGCTCTACTTTTCTCTACTCTCTTTTGACTTTGCACCATTTCTTTTCCATTTCTTCTCGTTTTATAATTGGAAACTCTTCCTGGAACGTCATTATCGTCATTTCTGGATTTGCAATGTCTCCAATCCATACTGTTATTCCCTCTTTCTCTTCTTCCCTTGTCGTTCTGTCGATTACGTTTTTCGTCACTGATCCTCAAATTATTCAAGCGATGTACTCTTTGGCGATGAAAAGTTGAGGGTGAGATGGATCGATGAAAGTTTGAAGGGTGCGACTTCTCTGAACCACTTGAGCTGTCATTTCTGCGTTTACGTGTCATCTGAAATTTTCAAACTCAAATTTTACTGTTTTTGTTCACTGTTTTTGTGTTAACAAAATGACAAGAACAACTGAGTGAATTTAATTCAACAATTCTTATAGCGAAACATTTGGACTGAAGCAATTACTGAAGCCTTTCCCATTACATGACTAAGGTTGAAGCAACTAATGAAATACTGTTCTCTAAAGAAGACACGCCTTCCCTAGTAACCTCACTCGTAATCATCCCTCATAGAACTACCGCATCTCCTCCTTTGTTGTTTTTAATGCGGCCGGACGCTCGTCCTTCCTGAAAAAAAAGATGATGCACTGCTGTTTCAAAGAGTGTGTTCTTTCACAGCTGCTATCATTAGTTTATTGATAATATTGACTTTAATACATAGGTACAAGGAAATAGTAACATCTACCATATACTGTCTCCTCTCTGTACCATACACAACTCCCCCTACACTGTAAATATGTCTCTCATTAGATGGATAAGGTTTATTGCGAGTAAGTTCACTTCGATAATTTGTTTACTGTTAGACAGAGCAGAATATGAGTTGGTAGGAGAAAGGGAGAGAAAAAGAGAAAAAGAATGAAGGAACGAAGAGCTCGAAAAGGATAAGTGGAATTGGTTAGCTAATTGATTGATCATCAGTGTCCCATCTTGCCCATCCTGAAAACAGCCTACCTTAACCTTAGTTAGTTAGCTAGTGCCTAACTGTTCTGCAACCCTACCCATGCTATCATCATCATCATTTTCATCATACATCAGCTCATTTCACTGCTTCTTCGTTCTTCACTCAGCCGTTCTGCTATTTTTTGCATGTATGATAATCGATATCCATCCAACGATGCTCGACAAGCGTTGACATTTTCGATTGATAAGCACTAGCATTGAATCGTGTTGCTTTCATAAACTTAACTTTTAATTTTATTACTGAGCTCCGTTGAATGTTTAATTATTCCTTAGGCAAAGAAAATAGGCATCAAAAATACACATTGAACTGATTTTTAGGCTTAACTGCTGGTTCGCTATTCTCAATTCCCTGAACGTCACCATTCTTTAGATATCACCGACTGACACTATAATATGCTCTTTTCACGTGGATTTTTTGATTAAAGTAAGGGAACTTCGACTCGATCCACAAACTTTTGTGCGTGCAGGACTTAACTCCTTTTCATATCATAAGACTGATCAAAGTTTATAATATTTATGGCGGAACAAATATCTTAAGAATATTGAGACACTTATTGCATGACTAAGCTATGTTCCAGTCAGTTACAAGAGATACTTAATAAACGTGAAATGTAATTAAGAACATCTGGAAATGTAATTATGTGATTAGAAGTTAAAGTTACCTATGAAATTCGGAGAATTTGAAGAACGTTCACGTTTGGCAAATAGTTTAACTTGGGAAGGAAAACGACGACTAAAAATTCAAAAATATGAGACATAGTTGGAGCAAGGATTATGTAGGAATAAAAAATGATATCTGAAAAGTGTTAAATTAAGTCTCGTTTTCAAAAGAATGGTTGTTGAACAAAGGGATGGTCGTAAAGTAGAGTCTAACTCAAATGCAAGAACTAAAAGAAGATTGTTGAGAAATGAAAAAATTAATGTGGAAGCGAGCCAATGAGATGAGGGGATAGAAATGATATTGTCTTTCTCGGCAATGTTGTTGTATAATTTAATTTAAATCATTGTCCATTAAAACGCTCATATTGTTGTAATCCGAAGTTTTTTGAAGAAATTCATTAAATATAATAAATTCGGAATATCATATAAGAAGTGAAAGTTGTACGATAGGCTAAAAATCGCTGTACGATAGGTTATAAGCCAACGATGGCTTATACACGTCAATACGAATCGACTACCAGGTGATAATTTAAATTGATTAAAGAATGAAGTTTACATCTGTTCACCTTTTTCCCTTTCACTCTCTGATTAACTGATTTTAAATTTATATAGCGCAAATGTACTCTTACGCCAAAATTTACGATGCCGTGCTCGATATCGTTTGTATCGCCCAATCCATTCCTGCTGACAGTGCTGATAGTTCGAACCGCTTAGGCTTATCTTGCATACGACAAAAATACTTCAGTCTTTTTCGAGCTATTCTATTCTTCATTATTGCGATAATGTTGACAGGCTTTACTTCATGACAGGTGCTAAATATTTCAAAGTTAATTAATAATAATATTAGTATTTGATTTTAGCGGTTTAAATTTCGATCGTTTTGTGGATCGATTTGATGAGCCTACCTTAAATAGAATGCGCCAGCAATATTGGACAGCTAAGCAGTTAATCAGGAAAAAACTGGGAAAGAAGGTTAGACTTTCCTTGATTGCAAATGATGATGTTATTAGTCGGACAATAAAAATTCCTAATGTTTTCAAAGAACGTTCCAAATTTTGTTCAAAAAGAATAAAAGTCAAATGAAATTTGACTGTCAATTTCAGGAAGATGAACATTTGTTAGCTTCAGATGCGGAATTGGATACAAAAGTAGCTCTGTTTCGGTTTGTTCAAGAAACATCTGATCAATTGCTTTGCTGTATCGATAACTATCAAAATTATTTAAGCGGTATTCTTTCTAAATCAGTCATAATTTATTCAAGATTTTAAGTTTTGTGACTTTGCAAAAGAATTTCCGTCAAAAATCTAAAAATCTTTTGATACTCTTTTTTTGCACCTGGATTACTATTTACAGCAGGCCTTTTTCATATTCTCTGACTTATATTTCGATGCCTTGAAAAAGGTCTACCATTGAAAAAATGGAGCTGGAATAGTAAAGGAAGTTGTTGTTCTTGCTAAATATAACGGAAATCTTCTTTAGAATTAGTACAAATGGAATTTGAATTGAGTAAAATGTTGAAAGAGGATGGTGGCACAGAAGTGACAGCTGCTGGCCGCGTTATGGTTGCTGTTGCCAGAGTATTGGCGCTTTCAGTACATCATAGGTTATTTCGAAAACGTGTCTTCTCTATCCTAAATTCATAATCATTGAATTGTCGAGCAGAGTTGTTCTTTTGGCTCTTTTCCCAGATGATAATCAGATTTTTTGAAGGAGCCTTAATGGACTTAGGTTTTTTGTTATTTCGCTATTTCTTTTAAAAGTGGATAACTTTTGAGCTGCAGTGAAAATTTTTTAATTTCCTTTTAGTGAGTGAGGAGATTCATTCCGGTGCTACTTTTCCTTCTAAGTTGATCTGCTGGTCTAGAGAATTTCTACTGTCACAAACCAATTTATTAATAAATTTTGAAAACTTTATTGCTAGATTACAAATTCGAAATCCTCTGCTACGATTCTTTGGTGAGCTTCATGTTTTCACAGAAAGAGCAATCATAGATTGTGCAGATACAGTGGATGCTGCAGAAAAAGCTAGGACTGAATACAGAGGATCATTATTATGGATGAAAAAAACTAGTAAAGAGGTTAATCGCTGTTAAGATGTTCCTAGATTGAACTTCTTAAGTATTAGTCAATTTCCAATTAATATCCGGCAGTGGTGTATTTCATTCAAGTATTACGGATTCAGAGAACTCCATTCTCTTACGCAAAGTCATGCGTAATTTCTGCAAAGCTACATTCGCTTGGCAACTTATTAACCAGTTCTTTGGGATCGGGTCGGATGTGAACGGTTTATCCTGTTAATGTATCTTTGTTTTCCCTTCTTATTTACTGACTAATTCTCTTGTAGCTTGACCCAGACGCAGAAAATATTTTGGAAAAGTTCCGTACAGCACAAAGTGTTGTTAGGCGAAATAAAGAAAAATTGGACAGTTTGAAATTGGATACTCTTCAAAAAGTGGATTTGTTGGTCGCTAGTCGCTATAATTTGTTTTCGCAGGTACTACGTAATCAAAATCTCATTTTCTACGTAAAACTACTTAAATCTCAAATTCAAGTTAAAAAAAGGCATGATCATCCTTTTTTACCAGATGCCCATTTTCCGCAAAGGATTGTTATTTGATGTAACTTTAGGTAAGGTAAAACGATGCCCCCAACCGTTAAATCTTTCAATTTATCACTCAATATGTTTCATGTTATACGTTAAATACAACAAATATAGAGGAAACAATTAATTTCAATAAGTATGCTTCAAAATGCCTAAATAAGGCAATTGAGAAGATCTGACACGAAAATGGCAGGGATGGACGAGTATTTTCCGCATGGTTCATATGTTTCTGGAATTCTCGAAGTAAACGGCAATTCTTCACTAAGAAACAAATTTCCTCTTCAAATGATTCATTCATTTAAATAGCTGAGCTCATTGTTTTCAATTTCAGAAAAAGTTGATATAATGTTATCTTGCTTCATTTTCAAAATTAGTTATTGCTCTGCATTTAGATTAATATTCAGTATTCAAAATATTGTAAAATAACTGTGGATTCTTCACTGCTTCTGTCGGATTGAATCGAATGATCTGGCGGTCGATAAAATGAATGTCTTTCAGAATGACCAAATGACTTCTGTATGACGATAAGTAACTCAGAAAATTACATATTCTATTTTGATTTGACGATTAATAATTTAATATGTTCTTTGGCAGCTGTTGGAATCTTATCAGAAATTATTATACAACTACTATGTGCAAACAACGCTGGCATATGAGAAGATTTATGATTTCGTGTCTAGTCGCAAACATTACGAATTTGAAGTACTAATGGTAATTATTCCTAAATTATAAATATCCCATCATACTTCCACGTGATTTAGAAAACGAGGGACTTCTCAGATGATTTCAGTCGAAAAACCCAGCAAGTAAATTATTGATAAATGAATTCTCAACAAACAAACTGCTAATTTTTGCAGGATCTGATTGAACCTTTAAAAGACCTTGTTTGTGAGAATGACGATCAAATTACAACTATCGAAAGAGAACCCGAAAGGTTGTCTATTTAATTCTCAATTGGACCTAAAAAAATTTTGCCAATAAAAATGATGATCGAATACCGGCTGATTTCACTCATAAAACAGATGAATAAATTCTGATAACGGATCACTAAATGTCTTTCAGCCTAATTGAGCTCGATCAATGTGAACAGGAAATGGAGCAAGTGCTACAAGATTTAGAGAATTTGAATGGGCACGATTTATTGGGCAATAGAATTGAAAGCCCACTGGGCTTACCAAGAGAATGTCAAAACAGTGATAACATTGAACCAACAAGCGACATAACAGGGCAAACATTAGTATCAATTGAACCAAATCCAATGAATGAAATATCTAGCACTACAATTCCAGCTATAGCTCCACCACCAGGATGGAAGTTAAGTAGAAATGGTAAACTTCAAATTCCAGTCTTATGATGTTCTGAAGTGGAAAATCTCGAGATTCAAAATATCGATATTAAAATTCAATAATGATATTGAGGATAATGATATTGAAATTTTGGCATGCAATATGTTACGTATTAAATTAGATTTTGCGGTAATTTGTGGTGTGGTTGTCGTGAGATTGCGAGAACATCACCGATACACCGCAGCTACATTTAACTACATTTATTGAGGAAACAATCCCGAAAAGGTTGAACTGATTTTGTCATTTTACTCACATTTTCTAGTTGACCGCTGTCCACCTGATCTGATGGTTTTACTGTCTTTGGATGATGCTGCTGAAGTAAACTCATTCACATCTGACTGGTTAAAGCTAACGGCAAATGTACCTACGCCTCTTGCAGTAACTGCTTCATCTATTCCGCCATCTCCGTCATCATTAGCCCTACCATCGCAACTGCTGCAATTTCCTTCGATTGAGAGCGGTTTCCCGAATCCGTTCGCAGATTCGACAGATTCGAATTTCGATGTATGTTCAGTATTAAAAAAAACAGAATAATTATATTTCTCTCGTAGGATTTCAACTTTGAATTTGATTCTGAATACAGCTAGATGTCCTTTTGTAGAACGTATGTTTTAAGTTTTCAGGTTTGGAAAGGGATTTGGAAGGAATCTGAAACATCTGAAGTCAGTGGTAGCGGAGTGTTTAAGAATTGCTGACTTGGGCATTTGCCCAATTTCTCACATCCTGCAAAATCTTGAATGTTGTTTCATTTCTGAGGATGAGCTCAAACGCTTCCTTTATATATACGTAAGGGATGCTGGAGAATTAAAGATATTCGAATCGAATTTGTCTTTTTTTTCTTCACACAGCAATGTCAATTTTTTGTGTGAGATTTCTGGAAAATGGGAAATTGAAGAAGGTAAAAATTTCATTGGGATTCGGTACAGTATGGGTATTTCATGGTATTTTCGTCTTATTTGTCGAATTCCTATTTATTTGCACTGAGAATTTTCGGAAATCAACAACAGTGTATGAAAGAAACTTTTTTTGAAATTTTTTTTGAAATGAGAAAAACACTATCATAGAGAGATGGACTGGGAATACCGAATTACACATACTTCGATTTTCGTTCCGAAATTTTCAGTAACGATTTCAGTAGGCGCTCGTTTTCTTCCTGGATCTTTATTTCTTCGTCACGCTGTAAAAGCGATTAGGCTGTTGTACTGATGCCGTGGTTTAAAATGATTACTTCAATGAAAGCTTACCAACTGGAACTTACCCATAAATAGCTAAATTAAGCATTAACAATTTTCTTTCATCAGTGAAATTTGTACGAATCATAAAATTTTTGACTGTTCGAGTATTACCAAAAAGTATGAGTAGAGCTGCGAAAAGTTTTTAGATAGTGAAACCATCCCAGTAGTCAAGTTCAGCTGGTCAGGGAGCGATTCCGTTCGTTTCAGAACTGAGGAAATCAACAAAATAACCCTGAAGTTTACCTAGTCATACTGACGATAGAGAAGACAAATCTAATAGGTTGGCACTGTAAATCTCACTGATTGAAATTTGTGAAAGGAATGGTTCACATTTTCGGTAATATTGAGGAGATTGAAAAATTAAGTAATTTGTCGTCTGGAGTTTCTTATTGTTAAAAAATTTATTGTTGGAAAGAATTCAGAAATTTAAGGGATAAATTGTGCGATAGAAAAACCTTTTGTAATGAAATTCTTGGACGTCCTGGCATTGATTTGGATCGAGATCTGGTTTCAACGACAGGCTTCGCTTTCAGTACCTTAAAAATTGTTGAAGACTGCAAAATTTAGATAACTGAATTATGAATTATCAAAAAGTGGGAATCAAACCAAGTTGAAAATTCAACAATGGGAAAGATACGCTCGTCTTTTAAATGATCAATATGATTAAAATCGGTATAGATGGAAAGTTTAACCTCAAAAAATTAATCAAATAGTTCTTGTTATTCTACGTTCCATAAAAAATCTTAAAAAAATAAATTATAACGCACAGAATCTAGAAACTATGCAATGTTAATTGAAACATGAATTTCAATATGAAATTTTATTAAATTTTACATACCCTTTCTTTGTGCTTGATAAACTGATATAACCTCTCATGATGTTGGATCAAATTACTCATTGCCCGTGTCGTGGATGTTAAAATATCTGAAATCATAATTCTTTGGTGGAATATCTACATTATAAGTATTAAGTGCTGTCTACAAGGAATTCAGTTGATTTTATCAGGATTTGAAATAAATTTATGAAGGAAAAATGAAAGTTAGTAATCTCTTTGAAGTGATTTTGAACCGATTGAAAGTACCAATAACATCTGAATACAAGATAGCTTGAGGCTATGGCTATGAAATATCATCAACTCAGCATCACCATGGAAACAACAAATGGCTGAAATGAAAACCATGTATGTCTTAAATTGTCCTCTTCAATAACTGTTCCATTGCAGAGGGAAAAAATTACGGTAACGTCGTCCAAGACTAATACGCAACAAATATGTTAGATCAATTAATTTTTCAGGCCGATTTTCTATCTTTCAATCATTGTTTATCGATTGCTAACAATAAATATGTCATTGTCATTGTTATCTAACAACCAGTTAAACATGGCAAAATGTAGAAATTTATTACTGAGAACGAGCAAATTTTTTTTTTAACATGAATTTTTCTTTCTTTTTTTTTCAGTTAACAATAAATGGAAAAAATAATAACACTTCAAACTGTGGATACTGTATTATCCAACATTTCGTTTTCATCAAAATAATTGATTCAATTAAAAACTGTATCTACAGTAATTATCAGATAATTTTTTTCTCAACCAAATTTCTTGAACAATCACACAATTTCATTTCTTTCACTACGACAAAATTAGAGAGATACTGAAAAAGTGCTGCAAAGAAATTCTGTCGCAGTCTAGTCTTGTCTTGGTCACTCTTCCTATACTTCACTTGCTGATGACTGATGGACATTTTGAAAATTAGATTAGAACAGTTCTCAAGAGTAAGAGGGAATGTTTTGGAGAAAATGCTTACTCTCTTCTTATCAAGTACCATTCGATGACAAGTTAGAATGAATACATGCGATGATCTCAAATGAGAAAACTCATTTTTGCTTCGCTTTCAGTTTCGATTTATATATATATATATATATATATCACCAATGCGCGCCACCAGTCATGTTGGTCAATGCTTCTGCACTGTTTATCATAAAGCTTAGAGAAGTAGCATTCTTTTAGAATCACCAAATGCAATAGTATATATCAATAGCCAATCATTTCTGTTTTTCAGACAAATATTCTTGATATAATTTAATTTTTATTTTTTAAGAATTGCATGACACTTTGGCCCACGAACCAATCATACTTTTGGGAAACTAAATTTTAACATTTCTAATAAATGTGATTTATGAATATGTAGGTGGTAATTTTAATTTAACTTTGACACTTTTTTGCGAAACATTTTTAGCACAATAAAATGAGAGTTGCATCAAATGTATGTATTAACTTACATTTTTTTGCAGCAATGGTTTCATGACTGCAATACTTTTGAAATCGCAATCACTAAAATGTAAAATGACTATCGTAGGAGAGAGAATATACATGCATCATCAAAAACAAATGACTATTTGCACCATTAAGATAAAAAAAAAATTTCTTTCGATCAATTGAAACATCAATAATATTTCCGTTTTTCTTATTCCTTTTTGTTCTTCGCTTTTTAAACACTTTCTACCACCAATTTCATCACTTCCCATCTTCAACTTGTCACATCGCTATATAAGAATTGTAAAAAAAAAAAAAATAGTCATGTACATTCATACGAAGTCCATTTATCATTACGTTTATCATTTATTCCTCCTACGTTCTTGGCTATCTTCCTACTAAAAAATGATCGACGGATTGTGCCAGTGTCAAACTTCATATCAAAATGTGATCAGATGAACTACGTTTAATTTGCCCCTAATTTATATGGCCATATTAGATATGATAAAAATATATACGAATAATGGAGAAGTGATGACTATCTACTTTGGAATTTCTTACTTCATTTTTTAAATTGTATTCTTGTTAACAAGTGTATCGTTCCATATTTTTCATTCATATGACGTAATTGGAAGAGACTTATGGCTGTTGGAATTCCCACTTTCACAGTTATTGTTGAAATTTCATCATAGCCATATAATATGATTATTACCCTAATTTCCACATGTCTCATCTACATTTGCTTTCTTATAAACCTTGATTTCTCTTACGGTTTGAAAAGTTGACATTTGAAAATATTTGTAAGAAAACTAAAACAACTTTCAAAAGGCGATAATAAAATAAAAGATTCTCTGGTTACGAACTTGGAGTAGTACTTATGCAATGTTCATTGGTAGTTCTTCAACTCATCATTATTTTCTAATTTCCTGTTAAATTTAAAAATTTCAAGTTCCATATAACTAATATTGTCTTTTCAATATGCTCATGAGTTCCAGTTTTAGATGGGTTCAAGCAGATGATAGGATTCAAACTCCGTCTTTCACATTTATTCTTTCCTTCTCAGTCAAAATGTTTTAATTGGAATGCCATAAAGGTACTCGAGAAATCCTCAACATTTTTCTTTTAATTTCTCTTTCAGAAGACAACCATCCATTCATTCATACTAAAATGATCAAGTATGGCGTGTTAAGTGCGCTTAGAGCAGTCCACTAACCATAATCACTTCCCTTTTAATTAATGCTGAAGCGATCATAATTGAGCTGATCGAACCCCACAGAATGATGGCGTTCTGAAGATTGACAGTATTCGTTTCATCCAATAAATTAAGACAAACGTGAGTTTTTTAAATTTTGAAGTTAAATGTCAGAAAAAATTTACACTCAACTTCCAAGATTCCGCAAGTTTCAGACTTTTGTAATTTAAATATTAAAAAAAAACAAAGTAGGACTAACACTTCGAGCTGGAAGTTGGGAATTGATAGGTATGATACGGCTGACGAACAAGGGAGAAAAAAGGCCCGAGGCGATGCGAAGTGATAGGCTTTTTCGAGTGGCATGGGATATTGAGAAATAAAGTTTAGTTCAATATTCTGTATATGTCAGATTTGTGTGGGGCTTTTTTTACTCTTAAACCATTAATAACAGGTAGGCAGTTCTATTCAGCCACTGAGTGCTGGATGTTTTAGCTTTGTTGCAGATCTGTAAATTCCTGTTAAATGACTATTTCTCTTGATGAAAGGAAAATGAGACTACGCCAGGCCTAGGGAGAAATGAAAGGATTTGGAGAAGTGAGAAAAACATTTCAAACTCAAAAGTCCTTCAGTGTAACTGTCCCCTAATTCTATTTGACAGGAACATACATCTGCCCCTTCGTTCACTCGCCGCTTCAGCATGCAGTTCATCCTTAATACTTCTTGTGAAGCATTACAGATAGTTAAGTATTTCAAAACGATAATTTAGAGTATGAGTAATTTACATAATAAATTTGCAAATCCGTTTTCCTCCGAGTTGCGTACAATTTGACTAAACTTGGGAGTTGCGAATATTCTACAAATGGCAAATTTGAAGACCTTCTTCCTTCATTGGCTATTCCGCCCCACTCTTCTCATCTTTGTTTTCGTCCCTTCCATCTCTCAACCGCGTTACTGATTGATTGACAAATGGAAAGCAGTTCATAATTATACCTTCACTTCGTCTCCCCTCAGACGTTTCAACGAAATTTCGCACTATATCTGTGCAATACTTGAAAATCGATGATATTGCCTTCAAAAACTTCCGCTCCTTTTGCCTATCGGTAAAATAATATTATGGCAATGTTGGTGATAAAAACGCCGATGATTATGAGATTGCGGTAACAATGATGATAACAGTAGGTTACGGAGCCCAGCCTAATGGGTTTTTAAATATCACTTTATTTAATAGCATTAATTAAGAATCGAATCGATCGTACTGACTACACCTCAAAACAAACCAGATGAAAAGTGGCGGATTGTCTGAAAGTCCATAAGCACCTTGATTCGCATACACTGGACACTAATGTAAGCAAACATCGGCTCATTTGTAAATCACTTTTAGCTGTTAATGTGTCATGCTGCCCATCTCAAGAGAATTGAATATCTTTCCTGTAATTTCCTCGTGAGACAACAGCTTAACATAGGACTACGGTGCTAGCTGGACCAAGTCTGATACAAAAATATTTAAGCTAAACACAGCAATGAGTTAACGTAGTCCTGGCCTTTGATTCTTATGCTGTCAATTTTCCATATTCGTGTCTGCAAATTCAAGCCAAAACTGCAATGAGGTTATCAGAAGGTAAGAAGGCAATGATGCGGGTTAATAAAGTTCATGAAAAATGGCTACTTGAACTTTAACAAGCAACTCTAAAGTGGAGCTATGCCAAAAGAGTATAACTGAATCTCATCTTATACTTTGTTGCCAAAACGGACAGGTAAAAAGAGTCATAAGATCATTCAATTTAACAAGATCTTCTCGCTGATGCAAATATCATTTTGATTAAGTCGCGCTGAAACTGGCTATTCATCACATTTATCGTTTGTCACATTCGCGAAAGAGAAGTATTGAAGTAGGAGCCAAAAATTAGATCGTTATAAGGTTGTCGATGAAACAGACCACAGTATAGAGATTAAATAAACAGTCTAACACAACAATGTGAGTGTATGGAAGTGATAGGTAAGGAAGTTTCGACAAAGTAAGATGCGGGAAGAAGAAGAAGATATTTACTTCCATTTCTGCTCATTATTTTACTTGTTTAATAATTTCCGTTCCAGATTTCATAGTACTTTGATAATTACTAGCACTAACTCTTTTAATGGTCACTATCGGGTCGGGTCATTATCCAGTACGACCGTCAATTATGTGTACAAGTTCTTCGCACGATAATCTATTCGATTAGTTCAGTCAAAATTAATTTTTTAGAAGTAAAACAATGGCATACAAAGGATATTTCTGTATGCAGTCCTCTTCAAAAGCGGTTGGTGACTCAGCAAAATGATCAAAAGAACGACGCTCATTTGAAAAATGGTCAGACATAGAAGACAGTACTCCCAATTGTATGGGATCAGATGGAATCAGATCAGATAGAATAGGGTAGTATATCAATGCAATCCCTCTAACAGTGTCGTCATTGGTCCAAGTTCTTGACCAGGCGATGGAGAAGGGGTAGAGGGCTCTGCAATCTATCCAATATGCTTTCAAACTCCCTTAACAGTGAGTAGATATGTGTGTATGTGCGTATGTATGTATGTATGTACATATGTATATGTGTGTGTCTGCATGTACGTGCAGACCGATCCAGAGAGAGTACGCTCATGCTGGCATGCACCACGGTCTCAGGGTAGTGTACCACCATGCTATCAAGGGGTTGAGAGGGGAAGCGAAGCGTTCAGCAGCAACAGCAGCAACTAGCTTTAGCTTTTCTTGCTTTCGTTTCACCTTGGGTAGCTTTGTCTGCAATGCACCCTGAATGGCTGACCCATTACCTCTTCTCATGGTTACTTCCTTGACGGCCCATATTACTCCCGCCCTCGTCCTTCCGCCTCATCTTTTCTCGATTCTAATTGACCATTTTTCATTTGAAATGTAAGATTGATTCAAGCTACTGTTAAAACTTTTCTCACATTACATTGCTACAAATTTACAGTGATAACCCACTATATAGCGACACTTTGGAACGTAAAGTCTACCCCCATAAGATACATCGCGGTGGATGCTCGGATTAGTTCCAGGAGCGATCGATCCATATTTTGGGTGCACAGTCCTTCCTATCAGTTATTTCAGTCAGAGTAATGTTTGTCCTTCCCATTCGCTTTTGCACTTTCACCACTTAATCCTCAATGAAATTTGATTGTGGCCATAAATTTTAAGCTTTAAAAATGTTAACACTCATCTATTGTTGCTCACATTTTCGTCCTTTGACCACTCATGTCTACTGACCTTTATCCTATTCATAGTACCAGGATTCAGTGGACATTAACTGCGGTTGGTTCTCCCATTTCGATATTTTTTGAAGTCTTCAATTAAACAGTTATTTTTGGAGCCAATTTTTTCAATTCGTAGAAAGGTTTCGTATAGAATTTCTAGGAATTGTTGATGGTAATGACATCTTACATATCTCTCATTACAGTCATTGCTGTTGTTGCGACAAATTTAGATCATTTTAAATGTAGCAGCCTCAAATTAATGAATTTCCTTTTTTTAATTATATTTTATAGTAGCTGTAATCGCACCACAAACTGTTGCTAAACCATAATACCACATAAATGAATAAACTAACCGTCTTGTTTCTATGCACCTCATGTTAGCATTATCCTGAGATCTCTCAGATCTATATGCATATAATTTTAGTACGGCAATATATCTAACTGAAAAATTTATGCGTTCGATGTGCTTAATATATGCCCTGCAGTACAATACGATGCCGGCTCGAGATCTCCCGGAATGCGTAGATGGGAGAAGACCAATGATTTGGATATCCTGTCCAACGCACGCTATTAACATAAATTTGCTTTCTGACGGGCTCTGCTTATCATGCTCACGGGCGAGCAGATGAAAACTTTGCCATAGTTCGTAAAATGAACTCACAACCAATTTTTTTAAGGGAATGAAATTGTACGAGTGCACTTTTTCCATTCTTCCATTCAAAAAACTTGTTTAATTTCAAGTAAAGCTACCTGCACATATACCTATCCACTTGCCGCCCACACACACCCAAACATGCACGCACCCACATCCATAACTTGTGTGAGGACATAGTAGTAGTCCAAAGATTGTGAGGAGATAGTAGTCCAGTAATCCATTAGAAGTGATAGCAGTCCAATAATCCAGCAGGAAGAAGGCTAGCATCCATACGAGAAAATTTGATTCTATTTGGAAGAGAATGGTTGAATGAGCGATCAGTAAGTATTAGCAAGAACTGTCAGCAAAAAAATTGACAAAAAAGTGTTAGCTATTCTCTCTATCAATGATAATGAAGCTAGTTTATACTTCCTCTTAAAATGCCAATTTTATTAAGATTTGATTCAAGTTTAGGGTTAAATTTAAAGTATATTTTATACATGTTGGAAGAGATTTGTTACAAATAAGCGAACAGAATCAGTGGAGAGACGAGAGGAGAAGGGAAATTGGGGGTAAATATGGTTCCGTTTGGTTATTTTGTGCCATCATTCAGAAAGATTCTTCCCAATGCTTTGCCCTCGCATTTTCTTCGAAATTTCAATTTTGTTCCATCCGTTTTAAAAAAATAAACAGCCACAATTTCTAGTTGTTTCGAAATATTCCAGGTTTTCCGAGTACAGCTTCAATTTCTAATTATACCTGTCGCCCTTTGATATTGTCATGTTTCCTCCCAAGTGCCACTAAAATTGATTCAACAAATTTTATATGAATACGACGCCAAGTTATTGCTAGTTTTCGTTCTAGGTGCCATTAAAGGGTACGGGAAGATGTGCATATATTGTATAGTTCTTTACCGGAGTTGCTGTTAATTTCCTGCATTCTACTTATCATCGCTTTGAATCTTTCATACTTACCCGCTCTGTCTTACGTAGTTTTATCCTTTCAATTTCGTCATCAGCACTGCAGAGCTGAATAAATTAACCGGCAGAAAGAGCACACATGATGGATTGTGATGCCGAATTTAATGCATTGGTTTCCATGTATCAAAGTATTGTGCATGATATGAAGGTGTGCTTTCATTCCTTTTCTCAGTTCATTAGGATGATGAATAGATGCAAAAAATTTTTGAATATGAAAAATGAAATAAGTTATGTGTTGTACAGTCATATTCAGAGTGAAAGTTTATAAATTTTATTCAATAAGAATACGCATGACACAGATTTGGATTTTCTTTTCACATGCCATGCATACAGAGTCAGATAATGAAGTTATATATAATATATCGTTTATTACTGATCAGAATTTTCGCGTTATCCAACGACACTTTTCTTTACTTTTTTTTAGATGACATATCCGGCATGGGAAAATGTCGCTCAGAAAGCTCTTAAACTTGCATCACAAATGAAATCGACGTTGCTTTGTATGAATGCTTTCATTGATGCTATACAAGCTGTTGGTGATGTTGCCAATAATTTAAAAGGTATTTTGAATGGTTTCTGCTTCGATGCAACTTTCCATTTACATCTTTTATTACTTTAAATATTAAATGAACTCAAATTGGTGCTCCATTCTATAATTTCGTAACGCAAATCGGTAGCGGAAATGAAATTTTTCACGAAGGAAGAGATTCTTGGGAAATAGTTTGCTGGGTGTTGCTTAATCATTAAAGAAAAAAGTTCCTGTTTGGAAGCCAGTTTCTTCACTGCAAGCTTACTCATCCCTGATAGTAATATTATAAATGTCGCCTAATTATTTCTGATTCTATTTTTGAACATTTCTCTTGGAAAAATTTGCTGCATGTTTTTTCAAATTTCCATTTAGAAAGAGTGACTATTTTTGTTTATCTTGATCTTGAAACGCTTCACACTGAACGACTTATACAATGCAATTTTGGATTCGGATAATGAAGATTGAGATTAAATTCGGCAAATTTGAAGGAATTTGTTTAGGTGCTACTCGAGATATTGGTGCATGCCTTACACGTGTTTGCATGCGACAGCGATCTATCGAAAATCGTCTGCGTGGTTTTGTGGACTCGCTAACCGATGAACTGGCCATGAGCTTGCAGAACAAGGGTACTCACTGGAAACAACGAACCATGGAAATGGATCGACATGCGAACAAGTTTTGTCGAAAGGTGAATTGCAGGGTATCATACTGTACATTCTAGATGTCCTCTGTTTGTATTGACCGTTCAATAACATTTTTTCTGGCTGATTAACGAGTAGGACTGATTTAACTTCTGTTTGTTTATTCTGCTCGAATCTTAAAAACTAATGTCTCCAAAGTGCTGGAATTTCTACAGGTTTTTTTTTTTCGACAAGGGGATTTAAATTTGGGTTTTCTAAAGGTAGAAAACGAAACTTCTTGTAAACACGCTATTCGTCTGTCCAGTCATTGAGTTAACTGACAAGACACAAAACTTTATAGCTGTGCTTACTTCTGCTAGACTCTGTTCCAGCCACGCTGCGGTTTTCTTTAAAGTAAGCCAGCACTTCTAAGCTCTTTGAAAAAGAATCAGTTCAGGAGATACATCGACTAATGCTGATGTTCATGGAGTTGCTGCACAGAAGTCATAGCTTCAACTGATAATTACAGTTTATTTATGATTAACGAATGGATGTCTTTTTTTTACGAATGAATAATATGTATTTCGTTTCCATCACAGATCCGTTCGCGTAAAGGTGGTATAGATTTAAGCGCCGTGAATGAGCAACGTCGTATCTCTCAAATCTTGTTAACTGAACAGCGCAATCAAATGTCATTTTTTGTTACAGCTTTGCTTCCTGTCCTCGTAAGTACTTAATTGAAATATACTTATCTTTTTACCAACCCAGTCATGTTTACTGTATACTGACATTTCAAATGAATTCGAACATATTGAACTACATCATTTTTCTGTCATTTTATACAATATTTTCTCCTGTCATTTTATACTCCTGTCATTTCGTTTTATATATTATTTTCTCCTAAGCAATGGAAAAAACTTTTTTGTATTGATGAAATATTCAGGAGAGGTGCCTCCCAAAGAAAATCCTACAGGTTTAGGAGTTTGTTTGTATGTATCGAAATTTCTGTGATGTTACTCTTTTGAAATGTGGTATTATTGATGGTCATTAAAAATTGATTTTGATTTTTCCTATTTCAGAACAGTCAGTTGGGTCTTTTAGAGGAAAGCAGTCACCTTCGGCAGGTAGCAGATCATTTGCATGTCACGATTCGATCTGGCAAGGCCACTACGGTCATTGATACTATTTTAAATGATATACATCAAGGATCAGATAATTCGTGGCGTAGCTGTTTATCTAACAATGCTAGTCGATCTTTTTACGTATATAATGGCGATGATGTCTCAGTTAAAGCACCATCACCAACACCCAGCACATGTACATGGCCAACTGTGGTTGGTAAGACTTTAGACCTGTAATTAAAAAGAGATTGTCGTTAAACCAATATGTTTGATTCAGCCACCGTTTGAATTATCTATTCATATTTTACGGTTTCAGTTGGCAGTACAAAAGATTCTTTGACTTATGTAAAGATTCGAATGTATGTTACCCTAATGTGAATGTGAAGTTACTGCTGCGAATGACTTTAATTTATTTAAACATCTGTAAGATAAATTTCAGCTTTATGGTTTGAAATTTCGAAAATTTTGGGAATTATATAATAAATTTTTAACTAGCATGTCTGGATTGAATTATCCTTTTTGAAACAAATTCCATGCATTTCTTCTCTTGAATTTCAGGTTTTGCATCTAATGCGAGTTCATCATCAATACGGGCCCATACAATATCAGTAGTAGAACAGCCACGACGTACAGTGCTTAATTCTCAAACCTATGCGCCTCCATCTTCATCACAGCCATTTGATTTTGCATTGAAAAAACCACCTTTACCCAAAAGAATCGTTTCTACTTCCAATTCCATCGTTTCTACTGTTCCAGATTTTCATGGATCGTCTGCTGGAGTCGATAAGGTAGTATAAGTTCTTATAATGCCTCTACGACAATTCGGGATTATCGAAGTGTTTCTAAGTTGTATCAAAATACGATTGACGGTTTAATACTAAAATGAAATGAAAACTATTGTCATGCAGCTACTTTTCACTGTTTTTCTTACCTTTATTTTTTATTTTGTTTCGTTAAAAAAAACTTATGTTGGTGTTTTTTCCTCATGCTTCTATTGCATGCAGTAAAATAAAACAAATCGAATTTGAATAATCTGATAACTTCTTCAGGCCTCTCATCATAAAGGAATCCTGCTGTCATCTTCATCGGCTGATGTGTCAGAAGAGTCACGTTTAAGGCGACCAGCAAGGCCATTAAGTTTTGCGTATGAAGATATAACAGCACATCCAAACGGGGCACCCACTGTAGCTCGTAATGGCCATATGAGTAATGGCTCTTGTACAGGAAACGATGGTTAATTTTTACTTCTCTTTGATTGGAAGTTCAATTTTTAATAGACCGATTCATAAAACTTTGAACATCGCTTATATTGAGTTGCAACGACGAGGTTCAAAATTGATCATGTCGAATTAGAAATCGTGTTACGGATTTCAATGTTTTAATGACATCTGCTTTGCAAAGCGCCTCACTTATAGTTATGGATTCCAAACATCTCTGTTTCAAGGTCGTTTAAAAAGTGCATGAAAATGTGAGTGGAGATTCCACTACATGATTGCCTGCGAACAGTGTTCCTTTTGATTTTCTAGCAAATGATCAAGCAAAGGCGAATGCCTCACTAATTGCTGAAACTATTGAGCAGATCGATAAACTTGGCTCGGAACTTGATTCC